AAAAAAAAAAGAAATTGCACAAGTTCCGAGAGACAAAGAGAAAAAAAATAATAAAACGGAAAAATGTTTTCTAAAGAGGGGGCGGAAGGGAGAACGAAATGTTCAGGAGGATGAGAGGAAGAAAGAAAAAAATTCCTAAGGAAGTTTTTCAAGCCCGGCTGGGACTGCAAGGCCGGGCAGCCGGGCGTGTCGCCCGGGGCGTCTGACGTCCGGGGTACCCGGGCGTGCGAAAAAAAAAAAAAAAGCCTTTCTGCGCTCTCCCAGAGGACCCCAAATCCGGGCTCGTTTCATTTTTTGAGAGTTGGCTGTCAAGGGGGGGGAAGGGGGGTACAAATTGTTTTTATTTAAAGGGGCCAAGAGGGGTTAAAGGGGGGTCCTTTAGTGTGATTTTGTTATTTTCTTTTTTATCTCCGACTCGGTGAGGCATTCTGATGCGACCCTCAGCCAAAAGTTGTTTGTATTGCAATTCTACACAACATACTTTTTCCTGGAAAAACAATTTTCGATTTTTTTTTATTTTTTTTTTTTGCGCAGGGACTGCTCGGAACCCTGCCCGGGGGTCATGCCCGGCCGGGCACCAGGGCGTGTATCCGGGCACACGTTGGGTGCCCGGGCGCCCGGAAAAACAACCTAGAAAAAATCACAAAAAAAGCGAGGTATCAAAGTGCAAAATAGAGAAAGAGAGAGGGAGAGGGAGGGAGAAAATAACCAAGGGAATAAATATGGGAAAAATATGTACGTAGAAGGAAAGACAGACCCAAAAACGCAGCGCCTTGTACATCCACAAAAGGAAAGATGAAAAAGAGAGAGGGAGAGAGAGAGAGAGAGAGAGATACATAAAAGGGGAGCCAGACCTCAAGGGCGGTAGATTTTGGCCATCCAAAGACGGCAGGAGAGAGAGAAAGGGAGGGAGAAAGAGAGCGAAAGAAAATTAGTAAAACCAGGGAGAAACAAAAAAAAAAGGGTGTAGGGAGCTTCGCGCCATACCAATTGAACAGACACATCACATTCCGCTCGCTCGGCGTCGCTAAGGCGCGCCCACGTGGCAATCACCAGAAGCGTCGTCGCTATCGCCCAGCACGACCATGGTGATCGTGAGAAGACCTTCGTCCGCAGGTTTGCCATGTCAGCAGCAGTCGGGATCCCGACGTCGGTAGCAACCCGATCAATCAAAAGGACACAGATATAGAAGATGGTACGTACGTATCTCCTCTTTCTCTCTCAATACCTGCTGCTATCTTTCCCCGCCAATATTTTTCCCGCCTTAATACCTTTCGCGCGGAAGAGGAAGAAGACGCGCCTCCCTCCTCCTAACCAACTCCTCTTACCTGCCTCGGTTTAAAAAAAAAAAAAAAAAAAAAGAAAAAAAAAAAAAAAAAAAAAAAAAAGAGGACACCCTCCTCCTCCCTTTCTCCGTCTCCTTTCTCAAGTATTACTTAATAAGGAAAAGGTCTATGAGCAAGAGAGAGAGAGAGAGAGAGAGAGAGAATATGATAACGACGACGAAAAGAAAGAACGCTAGCGAGAGAAAAACTGGTTAAAGAAGGGGACAAGAGGAATAGTGGGAGAAAGAGTGAGAGAGAGAAAAAGAGAGGGAGAGATGTCAATTATGCTCCCTCCCACATTCTGTTTTTTTCGCAAATCACGAGACTGATTGGCTCACACCTCACGGAAGAAGAATCAACATCCATCCAATCAACGCTCTGCGGGCACACTTCCCACTTGATTGATTGATTGATTGATTGATTGATTGATTGATTGATTGATTGGATTGGATTGATTGATTTATCTTACGGATTGATAGACGCTATGTCTGTGTGGATTGATGAAATCGATCGGTGGTCCCAACCAAAAAAGAGACAAATTTGCGCCGCTGGCGATTTGGCAAAAGCTTGGCGCGCAGCGCGCCACCGCCAGGCCCGGGTGTACTGGTGGTTTAAACCCGGGTCTACTGACGGTTTAACAAAGCTTGAATTGATCTTATGGATGGATGGACGATAAATGGATAAAATAAGAAATGGATAAAATAAGAAATGGATAAAATGAAAAAAAAATGGATAAAAGAAAAGAAAAGAAAAGGAAGGATAAATCGATGGATGAATGAAAACTGATAAAAGATTAAAATTGGATGTAAATGTTGAGAGGCGAGGAGGCCAGTACAAACCAACCACCCGTCTGGTTAATCGGTAGGACGACAGTTATGTCCCGTCCCGCGGCTAACTACCAATTAACGGCCGTAGTTCAATGCACATAACAACCCTCTCGGAGATTGCTAATCAATCAAATCATGTCAATGGATGGATGTGAAAACGGATCATTCAATCATGGATCGGATGTGGAAACCGACAATTCCAATCGCGCTCTTTCCACTTTTTTTCTCCTTCCTCTTCTTGACTCATCCAGCGCTCGCTGCTTGACTCTCTCTCTCTCTCTCTCTCTCTCTCTCTCTCTCTCTCTCTCTCTCTCTCTCTCNTCTCTCTCTCTCTCTCTCTCTCTCTCTCTCTCTCTCTCTCTCTCTCTCTCTCTCTCTCTCTCTCTCTCTCTCGCTCGCTCGCTCGCTCGCTGTGTACACAGTCTACGAGTCAATACCAATCAGTCAAGACAACGAGCCGTATTCAAACCCATCCACCGCCCATCGGTTGTCATTATGCAACAAACCTACACTTCGATTCTCTCTCTCTCTCTCTCTCTCTCTCTCTCTCTCTCTCTCTCTCTCTCTCTCGATCTTAATGTCTCCTCTGTGTATTCATCACTTCACTTGCTGGATCGGTTGGCAAATTGATCTCAGTCTGCTCCAATCATAGCGCCATTACCTTCTGTTCAATCCAACCAAGCCATCGACCGGGATCTCGACAATCCCCTGACGTATCCCTACATCCACTTGAGGAGTTCCAAACTGTCCTCCCATTGACCGGGATCTCGACAACCCCCTGACGTATCAATGAAGCAGACAGAAGAAGAGAGAGAGGGGGGGAGGGCGGGGGGGCGGAGCGGGAGAGAGAGAGAGAGGGGACAGAGAGAGAGAGAGAGAAGGAGAGAGGGCGTTTGGAACTTGAAAGAGAAGAAGTGAAAGAGAGGAGAAAGAGCCTGAGAGGGAGGGTGCTATGATCCCCTCACTCGAAAACAAGGCGTATAGGAAGGGTCGCATAAGCGCGCCGAGCAGAGGAGGATATGATTGGTTGGAGGCCGCGCACAAGCGCGCCGAGCAGAGAAGGAGATGATCGAGGCGCATAAGCACGGGGAAAAGAGCGCTCCGCTGATCCGCACTGCACTACAGTCCAAGGGTTCCAACTCCTGTTAGATCATCAATCCAGGGCGAGCGGGAGGCCGCGGAAGAGCACCCCTGGTCGGTAATCGAAGCTGAGCGACGACGGGTGGGAAAGCCAGATGCAGAGGCGAAGGAGAGGGGAAGCACAGGGGGAAGAGAAGGGGTGGAGGAGGGAGGAGGGAGGAGAGAGGGCGCGAGGAACCGGTGCGCTGTGCAGTGAGTAAAGCGGAGGGCAGGAAACGCGGTGACGCAGAAAGAAAGGATCGGGGTCGGGACAGAATTTTCTACGGGGAAAAGGGATGTACATTAAAGGCGGCCTCCGCCCGTGCGCTACGATCGCCTGGCCTCTCGGAAGTTGCCGGCAGGGCCCCACCTCCACCTCCCGCTCTCGCTCCACCTCCCCACCCCCGCCCACCTCCCCGGCCTTCCTAAGGCGCCAGCTATGGCGGAAAAGCCCGATGACCGTTCGCCAGCTCCGACGGAGAGCGACGACTTCCGCGACTTCAGCGAGACACACGCCGAAGTCTCGTGGCGCGCGCGAAGCGTTCTCCTGCCACCGCTGTCTGCCCTGTATGCCGAGAGATGGACGGACCCCTGTCTCACACCCACCTGTCGATGTCGCACAGCCCACTAGCCCCCCAAAAGTACACAAATTAAAACATAGGACCGCCATCTAACCTCAACAAGAAGACCAAAAAAAAGAAAACAAAACCGAGTGAATAACCAGGTGCTTATAACGGACGCCAACTGGAGCCAGCGGCCTAGCTTTGTCGGTTAGGCACGCAAGTGGCATTCAGGAGGTCATGGGTTCAATACCGAGAGAAGCACTCTTGGTGCCAATCAAAGTAGATGGTTGGCTTGCTCTAGCTATCACGGGTGTGCATGTTCGCAGCCCGTCAAGGTTGCATTTGTTAACTCCTGGAAGCTTTCAACGTATTGACTTACCGGGCACGGGTGCGCAGCCCGTAGTTCGTTTGTTTATGCGGTTCGGGAAGGGTAAGGTAGTGATTACGCTGTATGTATGTTTTGTCATGTTCGCTATACACAACCTCGGAGTGTGTGTCTGTGGGGTGCCGGTTGGTGCTTTATTCACGATGTTCATGGGACGCTGGACCCAGTTTCCAGCAGGTGGCGCTCCCCGTCAATAGACAGGAGAATGTATGTATGTGTGTGCGTGTGTGTGTGTGTGTGTGTGTGTGTGTGTGTGTGTGTGTGTGTGTG